CTAGTTTTCACAAAAAAGCTTGAATTTAGCTTCGTTTTTAAAGTTAAATTTTTTGGAACTTTGTAATTAGCCTATTGCATAGATATCGACAGAAAACTGAAGTCACGGAAGCTCTGCCCTTATTGCAGAAGTGAGGAAATTAGCGGAAAATTTCACAAGAAGAAATAACCGAAATGCAGTCTAAAAACATAGCAAGAATAGCAAAAATAATGACCTTGAAATGAAAACGCGCGAACAAAACAGACACAACAAACGCACGGAAATAGGGCGATTTGATTGGTTTATTGAAAGAATACAAACGCGCGTGGCTTTTGGTTGGTTAAGCGAACGCTCGGGTTAAAAAACGTCACGCCCGAGAACTTTCTAGTTAACAAATCGACCACAATTTTCGAAGGTTTACACTCTTATAGACCATAGAAGTGACGTCATAAAATGTTCAAAACTCAAGTAAAACCACGAGCTGCAGGCGAGTGGTTTCACTGCAAAGTATTGAACAATTGAATGTGTCATAAGAGTGTACACCATGGAAAATCATGTTGTGGTCGAATTGTTTTTTACAATAACATTTAGGGCGCGATCCATTCAACCAAAATTTCCGGAGATTTCGGTCCAAAACTCAATGGATCGGTTCGGCCCAGCCGGAAAAGTTTCGAAAAAACTAGTCTACCTTTTGAGGTGGACCACTTTTCCCTGTCGGACCGGTCTGAATTTTGGATGAATGGTTTGCGCCCTTAGTTTTAGTTTCCAGCGAAAATTATCGGAAAATCACGCGTGACATGTTACGTAATTTCCATGGTCTATACTCTCATTGACCATGGCTCTCGACCAATCAGCGCGCGAGGATTCGCTCTGTTGTTGTACAAAAACCAATCGATACTTCGCTTTGACGTCATACTGCAACCCGATTGGCCAATCGAACAATGCCTTCTCCATATTAGGGTTTTCTTCGGCGGGAAAACGCGCGAAGAGCCATGTTTTGAACTCTTCATCCATTGACTGATAAAACACATAACGAACACTTACTGAAACCATTTTTCAAGGTCATACGAAAATCGATCTAACAATATTCGACGACCCTAGAACTCACTCACATAGTGATTCACACACACAAAAAAACTTTAATGATTTGGTATTTACACGGCACGGAATACAGTCTCCCCAAAACTGCTTACCATTAATGTGCATATTAATAACAATGGAAGGGTCAGCTACCTTTTCTTGAAGCGACCATTCGATACCCTTAACACTCATTTTAAGATATCTCGGTCAGAAGTGCCTGGAAAGAATGCAATTTTTATTACTTCGAAACCTTTAACGATTATATTTTGATCGAAAAGAAGAAACCAAAGATACCACATTACATGCATGAAATAAATATTCTCGTCAGGAGCAAAAAGAAACATCGAGCCATAGATCATTTTACCATCAAGACGATCTTTTTTAAAACTTTCAAATTCTTAGTGACTTGTATATTGTACGAAAAGAAAAAGGCGAAATGAAAAAAAAAACAGTGTTGATGGGTTAAATTGCTTTTAATCGCTCCGTGCGTTAAAGAAATGGTTAAAAAGTAGCAGTATGTTGTTACTTAAAAAATTCCGAGACATTTTTCGAATATTTGAGCAAAAAATAAAAAAATGTGGTTTGAGTTTTCTTTAAAGTCGATTCTTGATTGACTTGTACAGGAAGTAATTGTACCTCACGATACATAGGTCATATTATGTTCACGGTGTCGATACAAAGGATTAGCACTGCGCAGTTTTGAACCGCAAATAAAAATATATTTAACCTTACATTAAGTACTAAACGAAAGTATTAGCAAACCACAAATCTGACTTACCTAGGTTGGGTACAAAAGGCAGGAATTGCTAAAGGCAAGCAATCATGTGGAAGTAATCGTTAAACTGACTTTGACTGAGAGACCACTGAATTTAATTTGAATTCATTTCTTTGCCTCGTAAAACGAAGAAGGCAACCCTTCAGGGAACCCAAATAAACCCTGAACGAGGGGAAGACAGCTTAAGTCGTTGTTTAAGATGCGCAAAACAAAGCGTCTGCTCCGTACAAAGTTGATCGCTTGTAAGATTTAGTGTGATTGTAAAGCTAAGGATAATTTATTCATTACGCACTTGAGATTCCGCGTAAGCTTAAAAAACTTACATTATTAATAACTGTTTGGAGCAGCTGTCTATATTAAGAGCACCGCAAAAAGCGTCTGAGAATTACCAACAACCATGAACAGACTGTCATTACAAAAGTTTCATATAAAGGCAAGTTAATGATGTCTTCCTACCTCGACCTGAGACCCCGTTAACTGTCATTGCTCTTTATGGTTTAAAAAAAATACAATTTTCAAGCACGAACCGGCGATTACAATAAAACCAATTTCAGTTTAGTTAGATGAAGAAAAAACATAAGAAAAAAGGCAATTTATTGGCAGGAATCATAATTTAAGAAAAAAAATAAGGATTAAAAGAGAATAACAATTAATAATTTAAGAGATAAAAGTGATCGAAAATGAAATAAAAGTACTTGTCATTTGGAGAAATAAAATTTGAAAACAATAATCGAAGAAATTTAAAACATTGCTAGCTTTATTTTGCGAGCGTAAATCCTGAGTTCTCCCTTACAGAAAACACTAGAAATAACATCAGGAAAGGAAACACTGAAATCTAAAAATCTCTCTGATTTAGCAAAACTTTGTGTTTTTTGTTTATTTCAACTAAAATGTAGCTTGGATAAACACTCGGTTCAATGGTTCGAATGATTGTCGAGGCTTAAATGAACTGAAACACTGATTAACAGCAATTAATATAAGAGAGAAGTCAACCAAAACACATGTAATCGTCAAAATATGTTCGCATGGATTAAATTATAAAGCGGGAGTCTAAACCGAACTCCGCGCTAAAGGGCAATGATGATAATAGCACGAGATGATAATTTTCTTGAAAACAGTGAGGAACTTCCGCGTAGCACTAATAACTGTTCAGATATGCGGGTACATCAAACAGTTAGTTCCCGCAGGTAAGCTTAGCCTGGCCAGAAAAATAAACTTCCTATTTTCACCCAAGGTCAAACAAACACATCCGTGAATAGCATAGTAAAATGTTTAACCTGACGATAGACGGGTTTTGCCGCTTTTTTGTTTGTTTCCCCAACACACCCAGGTTGAAAGAAACCCGTATGTGAAACAAGCATTGTTATTCCGACCTACCACAAGTAGGAGACGTCTGCACGAATGCAGTGACTTATAGCTATCTCTCAACCAATCAACGAATGGCTTTTATTTCGGTTAGAGTGTAACTAACTGCCCGCCAGTGCGCACGCGCATACCTGAAAATATGGCTGAAGGGAGAAACTTGCAGGGTATTTTTTTTGATGATTGATCTCCGGATTATCAAGTGTATAAAAAAATTTATCGAGCCGTTTTTGAATAATGCGAAATTTGTACGCATGGACCAAATTACGTGCAAAAACTGTAACAAAAGCAGCGGAATGCAGGTTAATAAAATTCTTCTAACTCGCAATCTCCCAGAGCAATTCCCCCTTTTTTTTGTACGCAGTTTTCAATGGAATCAAACCACTATGAGATGAAGCCGCGTTTCCAAAGCTTATCATTTTCTTGAAATATTAGCTAATTGTGTGGATAGTATGCTATTTCACTGTTTTTATGATCCTTAAGACTTTGTTTCAAAATATTTCCAAAACGCTCTCATAGAATTTGTTAAAACTTTGCCATAACTGGGGCAATTATGGCAGGTACGTACTCCCCTACGCCATTTCTTAAAAAAACTCCTAGCACAGAGAAAGACAAAGATCAATTAAAAAACGTAAAGGCGTCATTACGTTGCCATGGCGACTCCGATTGCAATAAAACCCAGATCGTAAAAAATTTTCATCTTTTCATACAGTTGGGGGAACTTTTTACCCATATCCTTAGACTATCTTTACTCATGCCAACGTTGTTAATGCTCAAACTTGGGAGGTATCCCCCCCCCAAAAAAAATCCGGTCGAGCCACCTTAAAAAAAAAAAGCGAAACAAACAAAATTAAAAATGCGGTTCTGAGAATATGACGAAGTTCGAGTATACGCTACAATAGCGCCTTGTTTTGTCTACGCTTTGCGTCGAACTCTTGCCTGCAGGACGCACGCGTGTTGTCGAGCTTCAACCTAATGACGTATCATTACTTTTCGCGGCGCTTATCTGGTAGTCAGCCGTCTCCACTCCTTAACCAGTGGAAGGGGGGGGGGGGGGGGGGGGGGGCAAGGGAGAGAGAGATCCCAGAAGATCTCAACATCTCATTCATCAGCTAGCTTTTAGAAGCTACAAGGAATGTTTGGAGCACACGGCTAATTATGTCAGAACGGTCTACAGAAAAAAAATTGAACTACGACTGAGCTATACCATTTTTCTAATGAAGATCAGGTTAATTGCCAGTCGAAACTGCTATCCAGAAATGAAAAAATACATTTTACTTAATCGGGTAGGTTTTTATCGTTCACGTATCCTTTAAAAAAGAAAAGTTAATTTAAACTACAAGAAATTCTGCGTTGCTAATCGAATGTGCGAAACAACCATTCAGTATGGGATTGTAATCATCATAACTTTGAAATAACCAACTATACAAATTTGTATTAATTTGCGCAGGTTAACAACTTATTGTCAATTTCAAGCAATCAATTTCATCATTTGTCTTACTTTATCAATTTGTGCGGTTGTCCTGTTTTCTCGTTCCTCTTTGTTCAGTAAAGTCCACGTTCCACCAACTTCCGCGAAAATGTTAGTAGGAAACTACAGTTTTACGAGCCGACAATTTTCATGGAAATTTTTTCCTGTTTGTTCCAAATGGTTGCCAAGAAATCACAGGTTTTCTGTCAAGCAGTTCAAACAATAAACACGTTTAATTGATAGCCTAGGTTTTCAATTAAAACTAGACAAGGAAGTGGGAAAAGGTGTTTTATTTCCAAGCCTGAAACGTTCGCATATTCAGTATTACTTTTCGACTTCTCATTTTATTCCACTAGCCATAAAAAAATATTCTCCGTTACACTCAAGTCCCTTCCAAAGAAGACTTAATACACGAGCCTTGACGTGAGTTCCAACGATTAAACTCACAAATTTCTGACATGTTTAAAATATCAAACAGCTCTTGAAAGCAAATGAAAGAGCTCAAAAAAAGCTACCCCCTGCAGCTTGCTAACCATGTTTGTTGATTAATTTTGCTATTAATATTCTTCACGAGCGGTATAAACAACATGTACTTTAGAAAAAAGCTAATGTTTCTATTTACCTATAAGGCAGCATAAAGGTACAATGTATTTTATTGATCAACACTTTGTGACAGCTCCATTTCGTAAGTTTCGGACAAATGTAAACTAAATAGTACGAAGACTGTTGCATGCAAAAACACTATAAAAAAACAGAGGTTTAACAACGGAGACAGATAGTACTACTGTAGTGCGAAGAGCGAAAAACACTGACATCAAGAATGCATCAAGAATGTGTCGTCACTTCGGATCCCATTTTAAGTTTCTTTGAAAAGCCGTTCAGGAAAGAATTTTCAATGTGATAAAAGGCTTTGTTGGCATAAATGTTTTTTCCTCAGTTCGACTTGCTTATTCAATCTGTAGTTGAATAAGGGAACGCCTGTAGTTTATAAAGAAGGTTTTAGCTGCGGGACAATTACCCGGTAAGATGTTTCAATTTGACAGTTGAGGGCTGAGGCCCTGTCCACACTAATGCGTTTTCAAAAGTATGCGTTTTCGTTGTCATCAACAACGCATCGATCGATTCGCGTCCACACTACCGTTTTGCTGCGTTTTCGACTGTCCACGCTAAAACGTTCGACAACGAATTGCACGTTGGGACGTAAGTTGAACCATATGTGCATGCGACAGGCACACGCGCCTGCGATATTTTCGGTCATTGTTTTTATTTTTGTGCGTTTTTCGACTGCCAACACTAATACGATATGTGGTTTCGTTTTGATCCACTTTCACGAACATTTTCAAATCGATGCCGCTCAGCGTTTTAGTGTAGACGAAAGGCCTAAACGCATCCAAATGTGCGCGTTTTCAAACGAAAAGTCACTGGTGTAGACGGGGGCTGAGAGAGTTGGCGTTTTCCATTACTGACTAAATTGTGGATGTGGAAAACTCCCTCTCAAGTTTTTGATGAGACGTTAGGATACACAAAGGACCCACAGCCGACAGGATAACATTTTTGTCTTTATAATAACGTAGTTATGGCGGACCCCTCTACAACGCCGGCTCAGACGGGTTAGGCAGCAAAATAAACAACGCTTTCTCACTGTTTGATATAATATTTTTACTCACTGTCGCTGAACTATTTCCACCTCTTCCAGCGAGTCAAAAGTAAATTTGTAATCTCGCGAAAGGAAATGTCCTTTTTGCCCTAAAATCGTCGTCTTTAACGCGATTCTGTCCTCACTTCTCAGCCGCATGTGAAACGATTATGAGAACCGAGATGGAAAAAATTCCAACTGCGAGATAAGGGCAAGTTCTCTGTCTACCTTTTTTTATCTGGGAAAAGAAAACCATGTTGAAGGTTACTTCAGTCATAATTCTCAAAAAAAAAAATTCAGGCCCACGAAACATCAGTCTTGTGATAAATTAAACTTGTGGTTTAGTCACACTGTCCTTGCGTAACGCCAAAGTGTTCCGTAATGTGTCCGTGTCACGCAATAACTAACGCATCAGGACCCTTCTCCTTGTGTTCTAATATCATCAATCTTGAGAATCATCTTGACAAGCTGAGTAGCTAAGCTTATCTGTTGTTTCTTGCCAATCAGCGTCTCTATCACATGCTGCTCTTTCATATCTGAAAAACAAAAAAACAAATTTAGCAACTTCCCTTAAATTCACTCTCCCCTCCCAGGAGTTTATCAAGAAACTCCTGGGAGGGGAGAGTGAGACTACTGATTGTTCAAACTATTTGTCAGTTGATGAGCTTGTGAACTGGTGCCTTGCTAACTAAGGGGGAACCTTACCACCTCAGAAGCAGCCTCTGACAGGTAATAGGGAGCTTACGCAATAACGACAGTCACCGAAGGCTACGAAAACGACACTTAAAAAGTACACTCGCGTTGCCTCAAACTTTATCGCGCTTATTCCATCTCGTTTAATTCGTAAAAAATGTTGGCAAATTTTTCTGTAGTTGAATTCTAAAAGACTGTATCAAAGTTCAAGAAAAGAAAAAGAAAGTCGTTGTCTTGTGTTCCCGTCCTCGACAAGACGTGAAATTAGGCATTTTCACGTCGTAGTCGTGTAACGACGGCAAAGAAATGTACAAAAAAGCGTGACGCACGTGCAAAGTTGTTGTTTTGCTAATATAAACCTATTGCTTTTTGCCGTTCTCGTTGCTGTCACCGTCATCGTTGCGTAAGCTCCCTATTGTCACGCGATGAAAGAACCACTCATGATATAGGCATCTATCCGTAAAAAAAGTAAGATTTCCTCAAAGTTCACACGATGATTATTTTACTAGTTCTCACAACCTTTTCTGTTGATGATGTGTACATATTGTTAGGAGAAAATTGACGTTGGTCACATTTACAGCACGGACTTGAAAGGGACGAATGATCTTACCATTGATTCCTCTGTCCATACAGTCCACTCCCAATCTAGGATTGCCTTCAGCAACTTGTCTGGATTTAATGTCTGCTACAGTTTGAATAGGATTTAACCCTGAGTTCTCTGCTAGTGCCAGTGGTATAGCTTCCAGTGCATCACTGAATGCTCTCATGGCATACTGCTCTAAAGTGGATATCTAGACAAGAAAAATCCATTACTCAGATGAACTGATTGGATTTATTAAAATGTTACTGTTAAATAAGTAAAGGGACAACGCTCAGAAGAATTGACTTCTGATAAGAGAGATGTCAGTGGAGTCTCATTACAAAGCAAAACATTTGGGTCATGTTGACTTCTTAGCAATGTCTTCATCGGTTTGCGGCCCAAGTCCACCCACCCACCCCCCCCCCTCCCCATCCTGCCCAACCCTAACAGGCAATACAACAACAACAACAACAACAACAACAAACAACAAAAACAAGGTCTTAAACAAACATTTTTTCTCTCGATCTCTCCCCAGTAAAATTTGCCCACATGTGACCACACCCTCTGAGAGAAAAGACTTTTTTCCTTCTTCTAGGTGGGGGTCAGGCTACACATAGCCAAGTGTAAAGTGCAGTTGAATGATTGTTATAGTATACTCCTAATTAGTTGAACGAGCTTGTTACCTTGTCAGCCTCTTTGGTGACAGCTAGCGAGCAGGCCAGTTCTGTAGCCCCACCACCATATACAACACGGTTATCACGAACAAGATTTCTTACAACACAAAGTGCATCATGAAGACTTCTTTTCGCCTCTTCTATAATCTGACATTAAACACAATTTCAAGAAAATGGGATGAGCCACTGCAGGTAAAATTATTGTGCTCCAAAAGTGAGAATACTGTCCTCAAGATTACATTAACCCTTTAAGCCCCAATATCCACAAGCAAATTCTCCAAACTGATCTCTATACATTTCTTTAAAGAATAAGTTGAGAGAATTTCATAAAAGATCAAAGCATTTTCTCTTTGGTGATCATGTAATTAATTCTCATAACCTAATCTCTTGACATTGTATGGATATCGTTAGGAGAAAATTAATGTTGGTCACTATTGGTACTTAAAGGGTTAACAGTAAGTTAGTAAAATGAGTTCAATTAAGAAATATTGGAGCAGGTGTAAAAGGTTAGCCTGAGAAAATTTGCTTGACCCGATCAGAAGCACTACCAATATCTGGGTAGCAACAGGTTATCAGTATGGAATTTCTGCGCTCGTTTCTCTGACATCATTTCACAGGGAAACCACTGGTGGCATCACAAAATATCAGCTGTTTTCTCAGGCTATACAAAGCTGTGCTTACCATTTTGTTTCCTCCTCGGATAAAGATGGTTACAGCTCGTGAGTTGTGACATTCTTCAATAACTAACATTCTATCTTTGGTAGTTCCAAAGCTTAGCTCCTTTACCAGTCCAGCCTTTCCAAGCTTCTCTGTTGTAAGTTCAGAAAATCTTGGCACAATTCTTCCACCAGTTGCAATAGCAATGAGCTACAAAAAGAATAGAGAATCACTGTATTTCACAACCAAAACCATGATGCTAAAACTAAAGGGCTGTGAAAGAACTTTATTAGCCAAGGGAATATTACTTTTAGTTTAATTAAAAGGCCAAGAAAGCTGTTGTCATTAACATTCAAGACAGGGGTTTCAATAGTTGCAACTAACATGATAAAACTATCAGTTAAGAAAACAAAAGGAGGTGGTTTGTTAGCTAGGACCTGTGCTCTTATTCTCTTATGTACATTTTCATTTGAATACTTGATTTCCGAGTTGAAAAGTTACCGGGACTTTCGAAAAACAGGCCCCAGGCTTTAACACTGGCTGGCTGGGTGCAACGGAATGGGTGAGATGTACAAGTATATGTAGATCAGAAAAATCCCTCAGACTTTCTTTTTTTCAACTTTAAAAGAGTCAAAAGGCTAGCTGTCTACAAATTACCTCAATTTCAGGTCCTCCAACCCATCTAACAGCAGGCAATTCATTCTGCAGCAAAAGATGGTTGGCTTCATCATCAAATCCCCACTGACAGATGGCCAAATTAGCACCAGTATCCTTGACCTGTTTTACCATCTCTTCAAACTTCTCCTTTTCATATTCACGCAGCTTTTGGTAGTCTTCAACTGATGTTACATCAAGCTTGTGTTTAGTCTTGGGCTTGGGAGGCTCAAATGGACAGGTCAAGATGGCAAGTTTTGCATCTTTAATAACCTGTATGCCAGAAAAAAGTGGATATATATTATAAAGAATTAAGATTGAAACAGAACCAATACACTGTATTATTACAAGACTGCTCACTGTGAAACTCACAAAACCATGAACACCACAAATATTTATGGAATATTATTGTGTTGTGAGGAAATAGCCAATAAGGCATGGGAAAACTAAACTGCAAACAGCAACGGTAATTAGTTAGTGGTTTCGGGGTTTGCTCGCGTGTCCTGAATATTATTGTGATTGGTCACCACACAATCAACAGTCCTGAAATTTTTCATGTGTTCACAGTTTTCCAAGTTTCACAGAAATAGAGTGGCAACATTTAGAGGGAAAATAAAACCTATTGCAAGAAACATTTGTTGTCATACCTTTGGCATCTGCGGATGGCTCATATCTTTATCAACAACTACTCCTTTGACCAACATAGTGTCATCTAGCCTGCCACCTTCCTTGCCTTGCATCTTGATAAGTTCAAAGTCAACATCTTTTCTCTCCAAGTCAGCAACAGACAGTACAGCTTCCACTGCAATCTCTGCCAACTGTCTGTGGCATCGGCTGACACTAATATATACCAAGAGCAGCAAATTATTAATCAGTTGTAAGGTCAACATGCTACATGCAGTAGAACCTTGCTACATACAGTAGAACCCTTGTAAGTCAAACTCTGAAGGGAAACAAAAAACAGACTGTTCGAGTTAGCAAGAGTTCAAGTTTTAGAGGTCAATTGAAAAATTCAATTTCCATGTTAAAAATTGATAGTTACTGATTTCTCAGCCCCTTATTAGAAACAGTAACATAATTAGGCATTTTTATGATGAAACATGATCTGTTCATTTCACCAATTAAAATCAAATTGCCTTTAGTAGTGATCAGTGTCAGTTCTAGTGTCTTCACCCCTATATATAACAAAAAGAGTTGATGGAGTGGCATCTGCGTAGAGTTAAAAGAACAACAATTTGAGTTACTGGGGTAAATTTCAGTGCCTTTTTTATCAAGGGAAAGGAATTTTAGTTCAATATAGCGGGGAAATTACTTGAGTTATCCAAGTTTGAGTTAACTAAGTAAAAATGACTGCAAAGTGGGGTGAAATACAAGGGAAATTGGACTTAGTTCGAGTTAGCGGGAGTACCTTTTGTACTTACATTTTGGAACCCAAGGTAGTCATGGCTGTCTGAATCAAGGATTCGGGACTATTTCTGTCAACCGGGAAGCTGTCACATATCTTATCCAGCTGTTCATTAGCTATCTTTGCTGCTAGTTCATAACCATCAGCTATTCGTATTGGATGTATTCCCCAGTCCAACAGTTGTTCAGCTTGATCAAGAAGCGCTCCAGCGAGGACTGTAAACAGGATGATTGGCAGGTCAGTAGCTTGCAGTGCAGATGATTTCTTGAGGTGCAAAAACACTTCGGTTGTGGTGCATAAGCCACAAGGGGAATTGAGCAAGGAACACACCTCTGCCCAGTTTAATCTTACAGCCATATGTGCAAATAATAATATTTAACAGTATACTCTCCTCAATATCTCTCTGTTTTTGAAGACTTTGAAGTGTACTTTAGAGTCCAACTATTGTTTTAATTTTGAAAACAAAGGCCATACACAACCACACACACACTTGCACAAACAAAAACATTATTTAAAAGAGCTTATACATAGTTTCCTTGGCAAAGTTTCTGCCTCTTTGAACTCCAAGAGCAGGACCTTTCTTTGTTATAGCTATGAAGACTTTCCTCCTGGTGAAAATGGCAACCTTCTAATTTTATGTATGGTTAACCTCATTTGGATGCTTCATAGCTTTGCATTTTTTCAATTTGTTTCTTCTTTCTCGAGTTTCCCTTTTTTTTAAACATGAATGTTTTCTGGATATTCATTTGCTGTCTATTTGACCTTCCATAAGGTTTTTTTAAAATTGTTTTACTGCTTCAGTTACATTTTTTTGGTGTCACTATTGCATGAAAATGCTGTTAATTATTTTTACTGCTGTTTTTGTGCAGCATGAAATTGTTTTGGCAGTAATTTTTCCTTGTGTCAGTATTATAAAGTTTCCATATTATATTGTTTGCTTTGATTGCTTATTCACACAAGCTATATAAAGCAGTTTGTTTTTCTTCAATGCCATCCTGATTTCACATGAGATGGTTACTGCCACAAAGTATAGCGTTCCTTTGTCATGTTGCTCATGGCATGCACTTGAGCTTTGTGTTGCAGCATTTTGAAACAGCCTTTTATGGTTCTTTCTTTATGGGGCATGAGATAGTATTTGACATCAGTATGTTCTGATGTCTTTTGTTATACATGTTGCATTTGCTTATGCCATTGACCTCTGTTTAATAGCCTTTAAAATTAATGTTAATGCCATTTTTGAGTCATTAAACATTTTTCACATTTATATTTCCTTGCATTTTTATAATTTTGGGGTCATTGATTACATATTTTTAGGGTTTGCTGAATGCAATGCACCTGGGCTTGTTCTCAAATAATGGTTTTAAAAACCTTTCGCTCAATTTTTCATGGTTTCTGTAGTGGAACCCATTTTCTCTTAAGTCTTTTTTTAGTGAATTTTGTATACCCTTGTGCATTTGAGATTTGTTCAACAGCATTTATAACTTTATGCTGTGAAAAGCAGTATGTAGTTGAGAGGATTCAACAACAGAAAGATGCACTGATTTGTCCTTAATCAGGGTGCAAAGAAAGTCATTTTTACAGCTCGCCATTCAGGCAAGCTGAAGCTAACATTTACTAGCCCAAACATCATTTCAACTAGCCCCCAAAACGTTTTGACGAGCAGATTGATTTCACAGTTTTTCTGTAATTTGAATTCCTCAAAAAACTTCACTTGCCCGTCGGCCAAGTTAATAACAGAATTCACCAGCCCGATTGCAAAATCCACTAGCCCCAGGCTATTGAACACTGCTTTCTTTGCATGCTGTTAATACTTGTCTCAGTAAAGGGTTCCAGGAGTTCTAGCAGTTTATGACCAGTACACTAATAAGACGGTTGCCTGACCTACTACTCCTGTGGTTCCATCACCAATTTCATCATCCTGTGATTTTGACAAGTCCACCATCAGCTTGGCTATTTGATGTTCAACTTGCATCATATCCAATATGGTTGCACCATCATTAGTAACAGTAACATCGCCATCAGGACTCACCATCATCTTGTCCATACCTAGAGGCAATTATTTGATATCAGCATGCATGATGCAAACAGTTCAAATGATAATGATAATCACAATAATAACCTGTGTCTCACACTTCCAAGGAAGAAAAATTATTTGTAGCTCTGTCTACACTAGCCTGCATCACAGTCCAGTTTGTTGAGTCCATTGGGGCCTAGAAAAAGGATCTCAGAGCTGCTTCACAGACATTACTTAACTGGCAGTAGATTGTGGAGCAATCAACAAAAAAAACAAAACAAAAATGGCATGTTCTTGAAAATCCTGACATGCAGGGGGGGGGGGCCAGAAAAGGATTCCAGCAGTGTTTCACAGACGGACATCACCAAAAGTTTAGTTCCACCTTGAGCGCAGGCTATGTCTACAACCTCAACATTGCAAATGGGCATTTATAGGTAAAGGAGTAAAGGGGTACTCGCTATAAAATAACTAAGATAGTATGCGCGCTCTGATTGGCTGAGAGGAGTGTTTGCTTGAGAGTATGTAAACATGGTTGTGACATCAAGATGTTTTGCTTTTCGTGCACTAATCACACAAGCACAAATTTGAAAAAAGTTTTTGAGTTCAAACCTCGACAATTTTACTTTATTTACCAATTCTTTCATCAGCTGAAACTTGGAAAATCTTTACAAACAAGCTGTGTCAATTTTTTTTGCTTAACCCATTCGCTCCTGGAGATTTTGCCGAAAAACGCGTTTTGAAGCTAGTCGAGTGGTTTTCTGGTCACTGTCATGCTATAAAGAGCTAAAACTTACCACAAACCGGTTTACAGGTCGTACACTTCACGGCCTTCTGACCCAGATGCAAAATATCAGCTTGCGAAGTTCGGGCATGCGCAGAAAGCAAAATTTCGAGATAGTTTTTGGGTTTAAAAGTGACACAGCAGTCTTGACTTTTACTTTTCGCTTTCTCTTCTCCCTTCTTTTTTCGCTTTTCTTGCCTCATTTTTTTTTCTCTTGCTGGGCATTTAGTAGGCTTCATTTTGGTGGGAATAGTTTTTAGGAAAGGTTTTAGGATCTTAGGATTAGGTGAAAGGAAAGGTAGGTGGGCAATGGAACAAGATTTTCATGGAGATTTTCAGGTCCATGTCACGTGGTTTTTTGCTTCTTTCTCCAGTTTCCTTGACTGAATTGTGCTCATTCTGGTATGGTTTGAAAGATCTCTTCACTTTGCACAAGTTAGCGAAGAAAGTTGTCCTTGACCGTTAAAGCTGATGACGTCACAAAGGGTAGAAAGGACCTGGATCCGCACGGGCGGTTACGGGCGGTTCAGGGGCGAATGGGTTAAGCTGAAATTTTAAGTGAGAAAAATCCGTATTTTGGAAAGCATCTTTTTGTGAAACAAGAACTGATTACATGTTCAAGACTTAGCGTATAAAGGTGATGTTACACGCGGCGATTCGCAATGACAATATTTGGCGCAACACAGCGTTACAACATTGTTGCGGCATTGTTTTGAATGGTTACAACATTGTTCCAACATTGCCACGCTGTGTTGCGCTAAAAATCGTCATTGCGAATCGTCCCATGTAACATCACCTTAAGACTTTGCGACTGGTGAGAATTTCTCTTGTAAGGGGTTGCGAGAAGTCTCGACGATTATGCAAACCCTCGACTTCGTCTTGGGTTTGCGAATTCTCCCAACCCTTTTCGTGTTTATATCTGGCTATACAAACACAGAAAACGTTTTCTATTGGTTACATATCCCATGCATAAGTTAAGTTGAGAAAATCTGTTACTGTTTTGAAAACTGCGATATGTACAGTGATAGTGTGTACAATACATGATACACAAAACATATTAAGCTTAACATTTTTTTAATATTAGGCAGCACGGACGCAAGCAGTTTTAAAAGCAAGTCTATAGTAATATCAAATTTGAAATACTTAAGTAACAAAAACGTTTAGGCCAAGTATATATAGTAGATGATAAGTTAACCTCACTATAATCAATGACCTCACTTTTGACAAGATAAACTCGTGCAAACTTACCTTTCGGACCAAGAGAAGTCTTTAAAATATTGGCAACGGCTTTGGCTGCTAAAATGTGCGACTATGAAAAAAAAATGCAAATAAAAGAACTTAACCCACGAGGAAGGAAAAATTGGGATTTAATCGATCAACGAGAAAAATTGAAGTCGTTCTACCTTTTGTGCATCCAAGCCTGTCAACCTTGTTTGCCTGTCTTGTTCCTTGAGGATTATAAACGGTCTCCCAAATTCATCGAAGGTAATACCCTGTGCACGAGCTTGTAAAGGTATAGCAGCCATCTTAGGTGATGTATAGAAGGAAGGGGTTTTCTATGTCTTGCCGATTACTTTGGATTTCGCAGCTCTGTTTTCGCTGCTTCGAAGGGAAATGTCGGAACACTCCTGGCCGGTGAAACCCAGTCCTCTTTGTTGTCAGGCTGCTCGCGAACTCGCGAACCCAAACGCACGCTCGGATCCAGTCTACCGTCATTTCCTTAGGTGTTCGTTGTTGTAAGACTTGTTAAACTTGTTAAATAAATTTGCTTGTTTTTTCTTCAATTGTTAAAAAAAGCTCTAAGTCTTTACTGTTAGAATGCTATAATGCTTGTAGGTAGGTTACAATACTGTGAGCCCAACTTTAATCAGTTAAATTGTCCCTTAGTGGCCCCAAAAGTTTTGTTCACGTAGATAGCTTGTTTTCACAAGATCAATGGATTTTAGCCTGGGCATTATTAAGCACTCTTGCTACTGTTACAGGAAACTATACCAAGATTGGCAAAATTGAATATCAAAACGCCTTCACCGGCCCTTACCCTAGCATGTGTATCAAGCTCTCCCCTTACTTCTAAAATCATGAGGTGTACGATTCAGGTACGATTTTACTCCGAGAGATCATCGATTATGACTATCAAACACTCGGGGAATTCCGTGTACTTACATGTCGTAATTTGTAAACACTCTTGCACTTTCTTTTAACCCTTCCAAGTAAAGAGAGCCTCCAATCATGCACATACCTTGAAAATCACTGAGTAATAATGTAGCCTGTGAGCAAGCTTAGGTTACGCGCGAGTGGCATGCGAAAAGGGATGGGAGGGAGAGGGCGAGGGCGAGGCGGGGGGGGGGGGGGGTTCTTGACTGACTTGTGAGGTTGCGTCCGCGGGATGGTATTTTTTTTTTTTTTTTTAACAGAAGACGGCGGACACGCTGGGTTTGGTGTGGCGGGGTTTGCGGCGTTTTCCTCCCCCGTTTTCAAGAGAAAAAAAAGGTGCCGGGGAAAAAGGTTAGGGTCGGGGGGGGGGGGAAGGGAAGGGGGGGGGGGGGGGGGGGGGGGGGGGGGGGGGGGGGGGGGGGAGGGATGGTAGGGGAACGAAAGAGGAAGCTTGATCACAGACACTGAGAGCATGTTGCGAGATTGCGAGAATAGCAGTCTAGGAGAAGGAACATAAAGCAAAACTTTCATCAATTGCTCGGTAAGTGTAGCCTCCCCGCAGACGTCCTTTGGGGTTCGTTTGTCACGCATTCATTTCTGAACGGTAAGTGCTAAGAAAATAAAGTTGAAGAAGTTGGTGTAATATTGTTTATTTTATTGTACAAAAATGATTGATTCCCTTTAAACAATGTATTTCTGGTGTTTTCTTCCTTGAAGTATTGCACCACTTCATTCAACAAGCCAATCACTATTACTATTCTTCAACATCTTACAAACAGCATTATTGAGTACATTATTTCAAATTATTGTATCATCTGATCATTTTCAAACAAGTGGCCCCCATGAACATGGGTGATCGTAGTGTCATAGTTTTATTGAAATCATAATATGTATACTCCCATCCCTACAAAAAGGTGAAAAAGATCGAGTGAGCACCTATGCTTCAGTTTTACTTCACATTATAATTATATAACAGTTCAATGCTCCTGTTGTTTTCCATTTGTTACGTATTTCCTTTCTGCTTCTTTGACCACTTCTTTACTTGTCTCTTTGGCGGTTCTCTTTGCGAGGGCCCTAAAAAAACGATAAACTGCGTCACAAGAGTACTTATCCACATACATCAATGATCAAGAAAACAATTAACAGAAACTTCAACCCGGGATAACAGCACAAGTAATCATAAAAAAGTTAGGAAGAGAAACCAATTGCACTTGAAAGAGTTTAACGACATTTCAGGGTTATTTTCGTTCTGTCAGTATGCTATCATCCATTAAAAATATTACAAGATGCCTTGCGCGAAATGAGCCACCTCAGGCAAATCCTTTTGTAACGGTTATACTGGCCGTGAGGGGTCTGAGAAGGAGAATAGGAAAAAAGAAAAAGTGAGGAGGGAAAACTTACTCCCCGTTTTCTCTTCATTATCCCACCGGTTCTTTAAAACAGGACACTGATGCCGGCGGAGGAGGTTAGCGCGAAATACAAAGTTTTGTAACAGAGCATCAGCAAAAACAAAATTATAGAGAACCTCTCACGTGTACTGCTGTAAGGATCAAGGATCGCAGGAAAGTATCTTTTCTATTGGTTTGTTTGAAATTGAAGCGAATATTGTGGGAACAAGGATGCCACGGCCAAAAATGGGTTGATTTAAATTTTGTCTATACGTTCGAGCGCACAAAAATCAAACCAGTTGGAACTTATGGGACCCATCGCTTCAACGAAATCTTGTCCCTGCGAAAAGTTTTCCGGGTATGTCGCTCGCTGCAAGTGGTGCCCGCGACAGAACGCGGCAAGAACACGTTGCCTGGTCTGTGATGTGTCAAAACGCTGCAACACGTTGCCAGGCCTGTGCGGAGCTTTTCGGATACTCACTTGATCCCTATGTTGTCCACATTCCACCACGTCTGCAAGGAAAGAAAAGGAAGAAAAAGTTTAGTAAAGCATAAAACTTTTTTTGCTTGCTCCAAGGCGGTAAACAACAACAAAAAATCATTTTTTGTTACGTTTCTTTACCTGTAAGGCATATCCCGCGGCTCCCATAGCGTTGTTTGTAGCTTCACTGAGTTGCGAACCATATCTGGAACCGCAACAATCAACACGTTACTAAACGCTTTTTCCTCAAAAAGGGGAAGGAACGGATTTTGAAAGAGGAGGCTTTATTGTATATGATGGGGCCGGGAAGGGTGGGCTGTCCTTGGGATATGATAATCGATCTATTTACAAAACTCAAGCACTCTTTTTCGGTAACATTTATTATTATTATTTTATTAAGTATGTTTTAACTCACTTGTGATCTATAGTTTCCACTGTAGCATATTGAAGGTTCTTGTACAGAATTTTCCAGGAGTTTTCAAGACCAAAGTACACAGTCGCTGCTCCTACGTGACAAACAAAAGAACATGATAAAATTGCTAATTCCACACAAGCATTTCTATGAACGCATACGAATTCTTCAGCCAACACCAGAGAGGTGAACAGAGCGATTGCATTGCGGCAAAAGTGAAGGGCACAGTACCACGAGATCAAGCATGGTTTTCCCGCCATTTTTCATATCCTGCGTAGCACACGTTTCCGCGTGATGGGGAACGGGTTGCTTACTTTGACAGCTTTCATCTCTCTGAAGTTAACGGAATTTATGACATTCATTTTTAAATCTAAATTCAGTTGTACCTCTCGCCCCGCTAACTGCGACTTTTACTACTTCGTTCATTGTTGAGGAGCCGTCAACATCGTCTTTTTTCTTCACAGCTTCAGGCAAAACCTGAGAGAAAAACAGAACACAACAACTCACGGGTCATTGTTCACGAAACATGCTGTTTTCCCTAACGTTTTACACTGAACCTTTTAAAGAATAATCATCTTGAAAATAACAATTCTTAGGTCTTAATGACCTAAACCACTGCCGAGAGGCCAATACTTGGGGACGCGTACGACAATGTAGAGGCGCTCCATCCTCAACCCAAGTTATTAGTTAACGAGACGACATTTAAATAGAGCAACACCAACAAACATGATGTTAGACAAACCTTCCCTCCTTTCTCCACGATAACCGGCGCGAGTCTTCTTCCCAACTCAATTGTCATAGCTGAAACTGCCGAGACAACAGCACCGCTAACTTGGCAGGCCATACCTACAGAAAAAAAAAAACAAATGGGAAACAAAACGATTCTTTCAGGGTTCTCCAGCTTAACTTCGAGAAGTCCGCTCCAAATCGTTTAGAAAATAGAGCGACTAAATCAATGCCAAGGAGGTTCGTTTGAATGGTTCCACGCGGATTTCATCCACTCAGAAGTTAGAACTACATATATTCAATGAATAATGCGATGTAAAAGTACTATGGGAGACTCAGAATAGTTTCCTTTGAATGGCAACAGCATAGTATTTTATCCATAGACTCAAACGTTTGCCGTGAAAGTACTACTGATGAGGTTCCCTTTAAATGGTCAGCTACAACAAAGGATTAAGTCCACAGAATTAAAAGTGACAATGCAGAAATTTTATCTTCCTCTCAAAGTCCGTGGGAGAAATAGGCTTAACCAAACCCTAAGAGAAAATAAGTAATTTTTGTGCGGAGAAGAATAAACAATACCTGCAACATTCTTGACTTGTCGAATGCTGTCTTGAGTTTCTTCTTTAACTTCCACTGGTTTTTGGTTCGGCTTTAGATTTTCCCTGAGTTTAGCCGAGCCCTGGAAAAGTTTTGGATTACAGAAAAGTGCATTGATTACAAGTTTCTGGGTAGCCATTAAATTTAGCTCAACTCTTTAGCCATACATGTAAAAAGCTAAGTGGCCCACCTCTTGACAAGAGATAGGATTTTTAACTGAAGGGGATACAAATTTTGGCTAGTGACTATCAAGTTAGACCTTGTCACGGTTTTTGACGCCATCTTGACGAGTAGGCAAACGTGTGAGAAATTACAGTGTTTGTAAGAGAATCTAATGTCCAATAATTTCCGTAAAACGGCTGTTCTCAAAAAAATATCAATTGTAGACTAAAGCTACAAAGCAAAGGATTGTCCTAAAAAATTTGGGGGGCGTACCTGTGCTTAGATTTCTCCAGAGGCTTGCTTTAGATTTTCCATATATTTGTCTGTAATTTTCCCGGGACTTCCTTACAGACAAATGTATAGAAAATCTTTAAAAAGTGGTTCTAGGTCTTCTCGTGAATGTAACGCCCTCAATTTTTTGCCGTAGAATTCTTAGGAGAGAAGCTTTAGTTTACAAATCATATTTTTGTCCGAACAGCCGTTCTACGGAAATTATTCGACGTTAGATTCTCATACAAATACTGTAATTTTTCACGCGTTTGCCTACTCGTCAAGATGGCGTCGAAAACCGTCGCAAGGTCTATTAAACAATACGAGTGTCAGTCCAGTAACAAAAAAAGAGAACTGCTCAAAGCCTTCAATTGAATGGTCACGATGTTTGTTAAAGACTTCATCCAGATACACTATAAGGTGAAACATAGTTTAGCTGGATTACCAGTCACTCAATCAGGAAATGAAAAGCAGACCTGCCTGAACGGCTGGTAATCGAGCATGGTGAAACCCTGATTTATCATACAAGTCATGTATGACTGGCTTCACGAGTGGGCAAGATGAATTAAATCCTGCAACCTGCTTGGCTACCAGAGCAGGCTATATCAGCCTATTGGTAGGTTGCCCTCTCAGGATTTCCTGCTTTGGTCCAGCAAGAAAAAAGTTCTCTTTTCCATGACATAAACATTGTACTGACCAACCTTTTTACTCGTTTTATTGACCTCAAGCTCAATAAAATTCAACACTCAAAATTAATTATTAGTTTGCTACAACTGCTTTGACGGAAGTCATGCAAGAGGGCCACATGAAACTGAGGAGATGCAAGAGCAAGGGGCGGGGAAAGAAAACCGCCTCTCACAGCTTTGCCACGCCCTCTACCTTGCTTCCTTTACCATACAAAATGAAGGGCTTGTTCACAGGTTACAACCTGGGAAGAAACAGAGTTAACAAACCTTATGCATCAAGTGACTTCCTACTTCCGCTCCTTTTGTAAGGCCCCATGCGACAAGTTCTGCACCAATCTCAATACCCTAAAACACAGGGAGATATAAATTCATATTTTTTTTTCTTTTTACTTTGTTCTAGTTGGTAAATACTATTAACTACATATTTTAAAAGTAAATCCCAAAAATAATTATATAAGCTGTACTAGCTAGTACATACCATAGAAACCTTTCTTCCCCAGGATGAAGACTGTTTAAAATCAAAGTACAAAAACAAAATATGATCAGTAGGATTAAAGTAGAATGAGAGACCCTTAGGGTGCCCTATTCAACAACAGGTTTGAGAGTTGAGGGGCTAAGCCCTGCTAAAAGTGCTCAAAACGGGTCTGCAGAGATTTTTAAAAAAGTACTATTGTATGTATACATGTGTGTTACAGGTCAATTAATTTGATTTCAGGTTAATTTTGATTTAACCTACAATGATGGTTTTCATTTTCAGTGTCTCCTAGCCCTAGAAGACAAAGGTAATTGAGAATCATTTTTAACTTGAACTCAAATTTGACCTGTACCATATACAAGACGACTGTCTGGGTTTCAATTTTGAGCCCTGTGTCTCCATATCCAGAGATACCAATCTAACCTCAAGAAACCTTTACATTAACGTATTAAACATTTTCATCTGATCCAAAACCTGACCTCAGAATCAGCTGGTACTATATCGGTTGTTGGTCTGACTGCCACAGCCATGGAAGGTCCTGACACTTCGTCAGTAACAGTAGTGGTAGTTGCTGCTGACGGTCTGCTATCATCTCTCATTTGATCTTCTTGTACAGGCACATCTCGGATCTCCTGTTCAAAGTCCTTGGGAGGAGTATAATGGTGGAAATCTGTATAGCACTTCAGAATTCTTTCAAAGCGTTGCAATTCTATGGAGGAGATGTTGGGGTTTAAAATCAGCCCCACTGAAGCAAAGGCCCTCTGTGGTCGCGGCTTTGAAGATGTAGGGGAGGAAGGATCAATTGTGATGTCTGGAAACATGTATGTGTGAGGTTCAGTATTAAGGACAGGGGATCTACCAGGAACCATGGGGAACATCCAGCCACCACACTGAAGGAATGCTGGTGCTTCCTGAGAACCTGGAAGAAAAATATTTAATAATTAAAAAGTCCTTTTTATAACACATTCAGCAAATCCTACACAATGTGTTTCATTTGATAAGGTAGAGAAAGACTGTACCTGGCTTGTAGTTAACAAACTGAAAAGCATGGAGTGTTTGCGGCTGAGACAGCGTTGTGACGTGTCCTTGATCACTAACAAAAAACATTCTCACACCTACAACATTACGGAAATAATAACAATGATTGTAAGCAATGACAAATTATTTCTGAGTATTCTTATTTATCCTGTAGTCCGCAATTCAAGTGTCACCCGTCGCGTTGTTTCCTTTGACAGGGGACTTTACTACACTGTGTCTCTCTTCACCAAGATGTGTAAATGGATACCAGCAACATACTGCTGGGGGGGTAACCTTAAATCACGAACAACAATTTTGGCACAAGGTTACTGTTTGCCTATTCAACATATTATATAACTTTCAACATACTGTTTTCCAGGACCAAAAGTTCCTTGACATCTTCCCATGGTTTTTCTTGTTCCTCTGGTTGTTCTGCACTTGCTGAATGTCCATTTTGATGCAAACCATCAACAACCTCTTCACTAGGAGCTGATGGAGCATTCAAGCTTGCAGTTATAGCCTCTACTCTCTCTTTTACTTGCTCCTTGGCCCTGTGAGAGATCAAGGACCCAATTGCTTTGCCTTTAAATATCTGACATGCCTTGTGTTTTTGATCATTTTGTTTAATTTAATGCATGACTGACAATATAATTATCAGAAGAGGGGAACTTCAAGACCTTAGATCTCTAAGGGTCATCTTTTCTGATCTCATTATCTGACAGCTATACTCACGATTTCATCTTCTTCTGCATTTCTTTGACCCTTTGCCTTTCTGGCCCAGAACCACCACAAAACACACTCAGGCCAACTACAAGACTCCGAAGGCCTAAAAATCATAAAAATTTCAAAAGTTTGAACATAGTGGTCTAGGTACAGGTTTCTTTTTTTTCAGTTACATAAACTGAGGATAAAAGAGGTGTGGAAAGTGAATACAGGTGAAGCAAAAGTCATGCCACAATTAGGGTCAAAACTGCTGTCAGTTCTTGATTCCCAACCTGCCTAACAACAATATTATAATATGTGGACACTCTATAAAGGGGAATTATACATAGGGTAGGTACTGAAGCCAAGCTTTCACTTTTCCGTGTACTAGAAATTAATTGTTATATCTGGAAGGTGTGTTGGATTGAATGTCTCTAAAAAACAAAAAGACAAACAGGGTGTTCATTAGGCATTGGAGCCCAGTGGGGGTACTCGGGATTTCAAGTGACGGGGATGATGGAAGGATTTTTTTGGGTTTGAAATTTTCGATCCTGGTATTTTTTTGGGTACGAAAATTTGGCAAGTATTTTTTTGGGTAGCTTGATTTGAGTAGGGATTTTTTGGGGGTATTAAAAAGAATCAGTTGTTTAGAGTTAATCATAATGTTACTGTTGAAACAAAACCGTTCTTGGGTGTCTCTAGCACCCGCTCTAGCTTGTTAAAATGACTGCCAGATGAGGGAAAGGATATATTCAGATGGTATGATGAATAAACAAACACGAGTGCTAAATTTTCAATGTTTTTCATTGTGTTATAGCATTACCCCTTTCTGGAACTTTTAAGGGCCACAAAATCGGCATGGGAGTTTTTGGGGGTTAATTTTTGGTCCAGGGATTTTTTGGGGTTTTGCTGGAAGCCCTAGGGATTTTTTTGGGTTTTGACTTTTGGCTTCATTCTATCATCCCCGTCACTCGAAATCCCAAGTACCCCCCCTAGGCATTGGAGATCAGAGATTTCTCTGCTTACTATGCTGAATTCTCACGGCTAACGTTCGGTAGCCTATGACTATTTTTATTCAGACATGGAGCCTCTTACAAAATATTCTTTTGTAAAATCACACCTTTCTCCTGCAATGAGAATTCTTAATGAAAACCCTGGACAAACCAATGATCTTGCAAAATAATAATATCAAGCTCGAGAGGGGCAAAAATTGAACCTACTTATTGACCATTGTTGACAACATGAAAAAGAAACTGCTGACACTTTCAATGTAGCTAACCTGCATTGCAGATGTAATCTATCCCCAGTTACTAACATCTGTGAAGCAGCACCAATATCCACATTCTGGGCCCCCAACAGACTCAACGAATTAATATATGTTTCAAGTTTTTTTAAAAGGTAAATAAATTATTGTGCGTTCTCAAATCGTGGTACACAGATTGGAGCCCAGAACAAGGATTTGGGACCAGTTTCACAGAGAGACTGAACCAGAAGTTTAGTTCCTTCTGTGGGGCAGGCTACTTTCAAAGTGAATGTTGAGTTTAGGTCACCAAAACGCAGCCTGGTAGTTATTTCAGAAACATTTCTCACCTTTATGATACAACTCAAGTGCTTTTCTTTTCTTTCCTTGTTCATCAAATTTTAGAGCCTCGTTAATGTAGCTAATTATTAAAAACAAACATTAAATAAAATACAATGACATGTGTAAATTCACAGCTTCTCTAATAAGTAGTCTGTTACCCTAATAAACGTAAATTCAAATTAAAATAAATGCTGTTTTCGATAAGCTTTAATTTCTTCAAGTTACATGTTAGGTGATAAGTTTAATAAGCTATAAAGATTAAGGGTTGATTGAAACGTGACGCGCACTCACCGAAACGCTTCGTCGTGATGAGATTTCACTTTGGCAGAAGCTTCAGCCTCCATCCTCTTGTTATTTCTTTTCAGGTAACAATGCTTTTCGTTGAAGAACTCAGCTAGACCAGCTAGAGAAGGTCATTACAAAGCTACTATAAATAGAAGTACATTTTTTCACCTGACACACTAACGACACTCACACCGCCATTGTTATTCTTTTCCGGGTATATTATATGAACTACGTTTTGAAATGAGGAAAATCCGCTGAACGTTTGCACTTTTGGCTCTCAGATGCGCCCTTGAAAGACCTTTCCTTTCGATCCCCTTCTTTCAACATGCGGAAACGTCGAAGAACATCACAAAAACAGTCCCACTGGTCGCATTTTTTCTCATAAAGCCATTCACGGTAAGTATACAGTAGCAATAAACATTTTGAAATATCTGCGTACACGGCCATGAAGTACTTTGTATTTCAGACTTCACAGCGGGAAAAGTTTTCCTTGCGCGCGAAATTTAAGCTGAAGCCCGAAAAAATGCTTTACGCTATGTTCGAGTTCGCTACCTACATATTCGTCTCGCTACCTATTGACAAAGTCCAAAACTTGCACCCTCGGAGGGGCAAGCTTAAAAGAACGAGAAATATATTAAGAGATTTTTTTAAAGCGATCAAGGGAACATTTTCAATGGTTTACAGAAAGGATTAAATATGTAGCGAATTTGTTGCGAACTAGGACGCAGCGAATTCGACGAGTTGCGAAAGCGGTTGTTACCGAAAAAATTGCTGTCAGAAGTATTCTTGTACAAAATATTGGACTCTGAAGCAATTGCCTATGCCTACCTTACCTGTACGACGTGTTTCCAGGCCTTTCTTGGTACTAGTAAATAGACCTATTGGGCTAACTCAATGTTGTACCCAATTCTAACCCTTTGGGAATAAAACGTTTTGTTTCAGGATTTTTTCCATATCATTTAAATGTGAATGCCAAATTATAATGCAAATACAATACACAAAAAATCTTAACCCCAGGAGATTTGAATTGGGTACAACATTGAGTTAGCCGAATAATAGGTGGATGCTTTTCGCAGGTGTAGCTGAGACGAACGGCAGACCATGTGTGAGTCGTGTACTGAAAGGCATTTGCCGGGCGGTATATTGTGATGCCCACCAACAAGGCAAGGTTTGCCTTATTACTGCCGCTTGTTTCCTTTGGTGCTACTTCAGAATACCCGGCCGCAAATTTTGTGTTAAATGTACTGCTCCCATGGTCCACAGTGGCAGTCAGTGTTATTAAAAAGGACATTGCATTGGTCATGTGTGAAAATGAAAAAAGGTTTACACTCCCTTCAATTTGTTATGCGTAAAGTATAACAGGTCACTGCAGTTCATTAAAAGGGAAAACGTCAATGAACACACGGACAGTTATAAAACTTCTTTAACCCCCCCCCGCAGCCCCCGCACCCCCCCACCCCACACACCACACCCCACACACCCCCCCACCACCCCCCCCCCAACACCCCCTCCCAGCGACGTCCAACCACACCAACAACCACGACAGTGACAGCTAACACACATATTACTCAACCACATAACAACTTAATGTTTCAATAAAAGAAACAAATTCTCCCCCCCCCTAATTGTTTAATCACAACAGAAACAAGCGTCGCAGATTTCTCAAACACAACAAGACACACCCCCACCACCCACACCAAAAAAACCCCTCCCTCCCCCCCCCCCCCCCCCCCACACACACACACACACACACACAAACACACCCCCACTCAGTGTTCTCTCCAGGATCTTGAGAAGGCCAGGGGTATTCTGACAAAATCCTAATCTATTCAAGATCATGTCAGTCATTTTTGGACAACCTTCCGCACACCTGGGAATTTAGTTTAGTACTTCATTTAATGTCCCTTAAAGTGTCCTTGAATTTATGGCTAACCGTGCCGTTCAACGGAAAAAGCAGGCAATATTGCGACAAGTTTCATGGAAGGGTAAATGAGCTAAAACCTTATCAATTGCGAGAAAAAGCAATGAAAAAACACTAGGCAATGTTTCAGTAACTTTATTGAGTGTTTTTTTCTTTACTTATGAACAGGATCCTAGTTCCAGATGTTTAACTGCATAAGGTTTCTTCAGTTTTAAGCCAGGCGGCAACGATTTTTCAATGAATTAAGCCAGGTGGCCTGCCTGGCCTGAAATACCTGGGGAGATCACTGTCACTCACTCTTTCTCGTACCACTTTTCAGATTGGCCATTGGTTGTTAAAATGGGAACTCTGCTACTATAAATTTGGGGAAATTACAATAGACCTGTTCTACATCCCTGGGCCACTGATTTGTATGAAATTGTCCACCCCACCTTGATCTTTTCACTTTTGGCTCCATTCTTTGTGGGTACTGGATTAAAATGCGGGCCGGCCTACAGTGTATATACATTATTTCCCAAGAGTCTCTCTCATGCAAACAGCTACCCAGTGACCAAGAGACTTCAGCAAGGAGCCGGTGAAAGGGGCATTGTGGGGTATGGTACGGAATGTACATAACAACTGGTTCTGTCTGAATTCACCTTTGGGATGCCTGTGCAACTTTATCATTGCTCTAGATACATCTTTTATTAAGTGAACTGTACACTATTACTACAAAATTTCCCTATGCCTCAAATATTACTTAAACAATCCTGGCAACTTGAGTTTAAAGTTTTGACATCATGAATGAAAATAACCAGATTATTATAAATCAGATGTGTAATGATTCTAATGAATGCAGTAATTGGTAAAATGTTGACATGTAAGATAGTCCCCTCCAATGCAATGGTAAATTTACTTTAAGCTGAATACTTATGAAACTCTAAAATTTATCTTCTATGAATAGATAATCTACATTTATGCAGGCATAATTATTCATAGCAATAGTTGTAATCTTCACGTATCTTACAATGATGCCTGTACATGATCATTCTCAAGACAATTACCAGAAACAAAAATCATTACCCTCTTAAAAGGTAAAAATCAATGAAAAATATCACCTTTCTGTAGCAAAATATATCATACTAATTTGATTACAAATTATAATCAAAACACAGATCCCCGTAATGATAAATTTAAAGTTAAAACTACTTTTTAAATCTTCCACTGAGAGAAAATCATTTGCCACAAGTAAAAACAGTAACACAACATAATGTTACAATCCTAATGGTGTCCTAAATTATGTATTTAACAAATATTAAACCCAATGATAGGCAGAGATAACTTTCAAATCTCTGTCTACCAATCAAGAACAGTTTGTTGAGTTTTGAACTCCTGGAAGAAATAGTCCTGATAACATGTTTTGAATCAGTTGCTCATTTTATCTGCATCATGATCTGGCCATAATAACAATAATAACAAGGCATAACCATATCTTATATTTTGAGTCCATAATCATCAATGTGGTATACAGTATTGTTACCAGAAATTTCTGACTACTCCAAAGAATGAATTCATAGGTTGATATTTTGAAGACTCTGGGTTTAAACTTCTGTTGGACGTCCTTCTTCATCATCTCTGGTATAGTAGGACTGCAACAAATAATACATAACAACAGACATGTCAGTCAAAACAACAAGGACCCTGCATCATGTGTGGACAGTCAATCCACACAAACACATACATGTACAGACTGTGATTAAAATAATATATTGTTAATTATATTAATATGCTTTACTAAAAAACTGGCAACTGAGGCTACATGTAGTTTTACTATGCCCACCTTCGCTACTACATCTCCATTCATGTTTAAGCTGCGGTATCTCTTCATTGCTTTATCTTCCCCTTGCAGAGACACAGAATCTGACCCTGAAAGATCAAGAGATACATGTTACATAATTTATGACTCCTGTTAAGCAGCAATATCTACTCATAGCTTTATCTTCCCCTTGCAGCTGAGAATCTCTGACCTTGAAAAATCAATTAACATCAGATAAAATTTCAAACATTTTATTCACTGATATATTTATACAAGACAACTAAAGGGCACATCACATAGGTAATACTTGTAAACTTTACTTTGGATGCCCAGTTATGAACAAGTGTTGAATGTTTCTGACTTGACCCTTTATTTAATTGATGATACAAATAAATGAATTGCCAAAAACAATGCAGTAGAGAAAGAAACAGTTCTATGTTCTGTTTGACCTACATGTAAATTAGTGGAGTCAGTCTTTTTTTTAAAAAAAGAAACTTACAGTTTTTTTTTTTCATTTAGAAGTTTTATTGAATAAAAACAGCTCCATTCCTTTACTTTTTGTAATTAAAATTAATAAATTTAATTTGGACTGAAATGCAATAATGTACAAATTTCAAATCAATTGTAATGGCATGTTTCATGTTCAGGCCACTCCTGACATCTAGTTTTGAGATCATTATTATTCAAGTCAACAAATTGTGCAGGCACCTAAGTGTTATGTTTAATAGATATTAATAAATAATGATCAGTGATCTTCAAAGTTATGCTTCTAAACTAGAAGTACTTCTTTAAAAGACATTACAGTGGTATTAAAATCATCAACAAAGATGAATGTGGGGTTGGGAGAAGCACAAAGGGCTGAATCCGCACTGATTTGCAAGAAGGCAAAAATTAATCCGCTATGATCAGCAAGCAAAGCTACAATGCAACGCAACACTAGCAAAAGAGCGCACAAGGAGCCCTGCAATTCCCCGAGGGTCGCCCTATTGGTTACATAGTAGAGTGGGAGAAGACCGCTGGCTAACTCACTCAAGTTTAACTTTGCCCAAATGATTTAAATACTAATGATTTTCCCCTGAAGTTTAAACCACAGAAAGATAGACAGAAAATAGCTTACTTTTCCTGTGAGACACGCTTCTTCCTGTTTTGCAAAACTGCACCACATTTCCAAGAACAAACAAGACTGGCAATATTGACAAAATAATCCATGTCACCCAACAGCCTATCTTGCCCTCTTCTGCCATAATTAACTGCCAAGTGTAGCTTATCAACACAAACTCTTCCACAAAGTAGTCCACACTGCCTGTGATCATGGCCGCCCCTATGAGAGATGTAGCCACAATGAAGAAACCCTTTTGCCATCTCATCGTCAAAAGACCGAATATCAGACTCAAACCAAGCAGCACTCCAAAAGGTATCCATCTAATGGTCACATGATAAAATGTCTCTATAATAAAGAAGATGGCAACCCCAATGAAAAAGCCAAGACCAAAACCTCCCAGAAATAATCCACAGTATGTAACAAATGTTGTTAGCAGGCCACAGAATATTCCTACAGCAACAGCGACTGCCACCAGGCCCCAGGTGGGTAGATCAGCATGGTTACTGCAGATGACGTAGGTAACAAATGTTGCAAATAAGAAGCCCAGCAGGAAGAGACTGCACTTGAAAAATCTGTATCCTGCAAACACACAGTCAGGATTACAAAACTATTAGTAGATTGCACTGACAATGCAGAGTAACTTGAATACATGCAATGTGTTAAGCTCACAACAATACTAAATGGTCTCTGAAACTGTACTGATCTACTTGTTCCTCTTCTTGTTCAAAAAATTATCCAAAAAATAATTGCAAAACAGTGCACATGTAGTGTACAGGTGTAGCTCAAGCTGTCGTATTAGTGAGAATCTGTACACGCATCCAGGCTGCATGAATGGAAACTCTTACAAAAAATGTTCCCCTTTCCTGTTAAAAAGTCCCCAGCCCTGAGATTCCACACTGAAACTACTGAACCTTTCTTTGGTTATTTTCTGAAGTAGACCCAGAGTCATCATGGGCGTCATGACTAATGCCTTTGGTCAGCCTAACAAACAATGAGATTGTAACGATACTGTTTAATGAAACCGGAGACTACTACTAGCTAAACCTTAACTCCTTTGTAGCAGAGCTTGCGGCATGTTGGGGGGGGGGGGTAAATTGCCTCCTACAAGGAGAGGTGCATGACAGACAAGGGGAAAAGAAAGTAAGAGACGCTTTTTTTACTTCAGTGTGAAGATTTATCTTACCAAAAATAACCAGGTAAAATCCACACAGGACAGTGATACAGCATGTGACAATGTATGGTATATTGAGCTGGTTATTCAACACAAACACTTCAAAGCCATCACAGTCACTCTTCTTTATTCCAGGGGTGGCATTGTTTCGTGGTGTGGCATTAGTTGGTATGCCTGTGGTTTCCTGTAATTTTGTTGATGCAGGCACAGTAGTAGTAGTAAGATTATCCACTGAACTCAAATTACCAATAGTTGCCACTGGGCTTACTGTTATGTTTTGCCCTTGGCTTAAGCTAATGGCTGCAGCCATCAGTAACAATGCTGTAAGCTTGTTAGGTCTCATCTGTTTGAAAGAAAATAAAAATAATATTAATAAAATACATATCAGCTTAAAACTGTTGAATGTTACACAACTAAGAATGAAAACGAAAAGGAAACTAAATTTACAATTTAAGTAGCATCATTGCCAAGTTAAAAAGCATAGTCTATTATTTTATTTTACAAAGTAGCTTATATTCAATTTGTTACCCATTTCAATATTGTACATGAACCAATCTCGAGTTCAAATCCTTGACCATGTTTGTAAATAGCCAACAGGTTTGCTGCCTCGAGGCAAATTCGATTCTAAAACCTGTTGTTTCTTATTTTATTAGCCCCACAAGCCTTTGTGCTAAGTACTGCCAAGCGTAAGCAAAGGAATTTTTATAATAAATAGAGACTTAAATGTGCTTCTCAAAGCTTGTTTAAGATGGATAGATAATTTATTTTAATAAGCACAGAATTCACTTTATGTACTGTAGTGTCTGGGATGGTCTCTGCCAAACTTTGAACAATAAACTACAAAAGTTACAATACCGCGCTGCAAGAGTAATAATTACCAAATCTAGGTATGATGCAAGTGCGGGTCCTCTTTTGGACATGCTTGGATGGGATAGGGTTTTGATTAGCTTAATAAACCAAAAGGCAGTTGTCATGTCCAAAACACTTAACAATCAAATGCTCCCCTACATGCAAGATAATTATGTTCTCTGTTCGTGATTTTTACTACAATATCCGGTGCTCTGAGAACATCTTGCATGTACCCAAAACCAAGGACTGAGTATCTTGAGCGAAATCTTGGGTATTCAGCAGCTGTCATTATGGACTGCCATCCGAAATTTGGAAGCCGTTAACCCTTACAAGGGTTAAAAAGGGACATCTTAGATTCATCAACAGGCACTCACACGGCAAACATGTAAACCAGTATTTTAGATTCTAATGATCATTTTATACTGATGTTTTACTGTGTTTAAATAAAGTATGTCTATGTCTAAAAGCTTACAAGTAGATCAAATTCAGTATAAAATATTATCTTTTGAAAATAAAACAGGTGTTAAGTACTGTTCTAAAACTTACAGTTAAAATTTAATGTCTTGCACATCTCTTCGAAAAAATCTGTATTAAAAGTAGTTCTCTGATAATATTGAAATAGACGTGTCATAGCTAAAAACTTTGTTGGGTTATTTCTTTTAAGGGAAAAAATTTAGTCAAAATAAAAACGTTTTCACCTGTGTTAATAAATTATATACCGCACACAGACAATGAAATTTAGACCACAAGCATTTTCAATATCCCCAACACTCAATTTTGAATTCATGTCTGAAAAATCATTAAATTCAGAGAAAACTATTTCCATTTGCAATGACAAAATCAGTCATGAGGTACTTAAAATCTTTTCTCTTTAGAAATCTAACATAATAGTAGCAAAAATTTAATTTGTCATATCAGCATTATTGTCTACCTACATGTATCTGTTTGTCTCAGTACAGATCTCAAAAACTATAACTGAAACTGTAATTTTTAATTTTTGACACCATGAGGTCTCCTGACGTTTAAAGATGATATTTTTCATAAAAATACAAAAATTTAAAGCAAACCTTTACAGAGTGTGTTTTGTCTAAGTAAAATATGAGTCACTGTAGAATTTCACCAGACTTACCTCTATGTATGGCTAGACTTATTTTTCCAATAATTACATTATTGCTAGACATGAAGGCATGATATGAGTAGAGAGTTCTTCCAGGACAAAGTAAATGACTGTACTGAAAAGTAGTAGTAACTACACAACCTTAGGACTCCTGCATCAATCACTAAATACACTAACCAATGAATACTACAAAAATCAGCATACCTAGTTCTGTGTTACTTTATATGTGGCAGCTGCAGCTGATTTCTATTTGGTGGTGGAAATTTCACTTATTAAAATGAAACCCATGCTCAAAACTGCTGATAATTATAATTTAAAACTCTTAAATAATGAGTTGATCAATCAAACCCAAATATGGCAGTGTTTTGTTTATTTCTTTGTTCAATTAAAGAAATACTTATTGACAGCTGCCTCTAGCAAAGTATTTTAAAATCAACCAATGAAAGGAAAATTTAATTTGACAAGAAAAAAGATCAGTCACAAGAGAAATTAATGTTATTACAATAAAAAAAATTGAAAGCATGTTGTAACATTTGCAAGTAACATTATTTTCATTTCAAATAAATAATAAATTTAGTTTTTTTAAAAACGAAAAGGCAATGCTCCTCCATAATAATCACATTATTTTTTCACTTTCACCAACCAACTTTCAGAAAGCCCAGTTTGCCCTAGTGGCATTTAACACTGTAATCTCCTTTCTCCTTTATTAATCTTCAAAATTTATCTTAGGTAACAGCCTAAAACTACATTTCAACTAATGAGAAATAAATTAAATACGACAGGGAGCCAAAAATGCCACTAATTTTCCTCTGAGAGGGTTAGGGAAAAAAAACAAAAGAATTTTTTTTTTCAGATAACTTTTTTTCAATTGTGAAAGGTTTGAACCCAGGAGTCATTTCAATTTATTTGTTACTAATTGCAGAAACAGTGGGCTGAGAAACAAATGTGTCGACTTTTCATTTGACTAACTTGCGAGATGATGAAGCCAAGATTACCAATCATTTTGAAGGGGAGGGAGGTAAACTTCAATGAGTAAACCTTGGTCACAGTGAGAGTGTGGATACATAAACTAATAAATCAATATGTTTTTATGTGATCGTGTACTGGAACTTCACAAGCACTGTATTGTTTGTACCTAAGATACATGTATGTAATATAAGTTACAGGTCAAATTTGATTTCAGGTTAAAATTATTTAACCTAGGTTAATTCTCTATTTCCTCTGCCTCCTAGCCCTAATTCATGAATAATTAGATTAAATTTTGACCATATGTAAAGACTGCACTTAAGATTATTCCTGGAGAAAAAATTTCCGGGACTTTCTTAGTGACAATTAACAACATACAGAGCGCAGGGAAGTCCTCTCAATTGATCCCTGTACCTGTGTGTGACTATGGGTGGATACATTAATTAAACGGGACAGTCTAAGTTCCAAATATTCCACAGATATAAAAATGGAATGGGAAATTTTGTTCAGTATATATTGGTCTAATCCAAACTGATCAGTAGTGAAGCTTTACCTAATCTATTAGCTTCTACCACACGCATTTTCATTTACTTTACACTTATGTAACTAAACCTGAACCGTTTTATTCGTATATCATGCAGTACATTTAGTTAAATTTATTGATGGCTACATACGAATCTGCCGTCAAAACTCTCTAGGGACACCACTATAATAATCACATACACCTCTATTATGGACAGTTTTTAGTCCTGAAGATACCAAACTTCATACAGTTCCTACATCACTGATACGGACACCTCAGTACTAATGTGGACACTTGGCCATGTCCCCGTAGAGGTTCGGCTATATTTTAACACACTCACAAGGAAATAGTAACCAAGCTGAACAAAAAATATAAAAATGTATAATTTCAAAGATCACTTTCAAAGAATTGTAAGGAAAAGTGTATTCAGCTAATAGCAAATATAGAAATTATAGACGTCCAACAAGCCTTCTTTCAATTTGCTATCTCGGCACGTACTAAAGGAGTATTTAAAACAAACGACAACATAAGTGAATTTGCATTTAAAGGAAATTATTCATGCAAGAGTAAACATACAGTGAAGCCGCGCACAATTTTTTCAAAAAGTAACGTATTGTTTTCCTTTCATTTTGCGAAAACTTGACCTGGAAGGAAGTGTAAGACAAATCTTAATTATCTGGTATTATCTTGTATTATTCTTGGGTAGTTCATTGTACCGGATGTGTAACGTGGCTGGTAGCTATTATAATATGGCGGTCGCACTTATAATCGAATCATCATAGCATCGCCAATATCATTAATACTGAGGGAAGGAAACAAATACTTTGAAACATAAACATTCGCAGAAGCACGGATTTTCATCCTTCCACCGAAAGAAGTAGTGAAATACCAGTTCTTTCAACTGCCAAACCTACAATGCTTTCTTGACAAACGTCGTCACCTTCATATCGTGTAAGTGCAATTATCAGCAACAAAAAGCACGTTCTAGATTGTTTACAGTATTTAACTACCACGCGACAAACTTACGAATCGGAAGTTTGTATGTTTTCACTCTGTAAAATTTTAAAAGCCCAAAAAAGGTTTTTTTTTCTTTAATTGTGGTTTTAGGCACTGAAGCTGTTAATAACCTTAAGAGCTACAAAAGCAAATTGTTCATTTCGTTCATTCGTACCATATTTGACATCACCAACTCAAATCTGTTATCATGAGCCGTTATCACCGTGTTGCTTTTTATTCTATCAATTATAAGCACAAGAACGACAAGTCGTACTCGAAAGCGAGTAGGAATTGTACGATCTTCCCACTGGCAGTGGAAACATTTGAATTTAGCAGAACCGAACCGATTTGATGTGCAAGAGGACTTTGCAACTATCATCTTAATATGTTCCCCGATATAAGCTTAAGTTTACCTCAAATTAAACTTACCTTGACATCGGTCTAAGAGCGAGAGCGGTGTTTTTCCAATCCAATTTTCTAGGGCATCCGTTTCAAAAATTGCAACTCAACCGTCATGGACCGTGAAATACGCTTCGCTGAAGCTGTGAAGGCTTTTGTGCGCATTGACAAAGGGCACCATTGATCATTTGACTTGCGCAGGAAGAGAGAAAATATAAATTGATCAGCTAAGCCATTGCGCATTCTTTATGCTGATAAATACAATTAGGAATATACCAGGTTAAGTTAATTATACAAGTACAAGCATCTAAAAAAAGGAGGAACAAAGATGAAAGATCTGGCTTACACTTTTTTATGGATTAAGAGTGGGGTAAGTCATTTCCCGGGGACGTTAATTCCTAGGATGATAAAGATATAAATTCTTTTTGAGGATTGATGAGTGTTAAGAACTCCTAAGCCACAAAAGCAACATTTATTCTGGCGATGAAATGGTATCGTTAAATTGACTTAACTAACGCAGCTATAAAGTTATCAATGTCTTTTTTAAAATCCACATTTGAAAGATTTTGAAATCCTTTGGAAACCGTGTTCAAAATGGCAAATAACTTTTGGTATTGTCCTGTAACTATTGTTAACTGTGGTAAAAAATTTCCATATCAATGTCGTATGTGTACTATGTCATTACTGACCACAATGAAGCAGCAGGAGTTGAAGATTAAGGGATTACAAGTTTTCAGATATGTTGAACTTGAATGGAATTAACTTCCCTTTGCTCCGATACCAAAAAAATTTAATGCATAAGATAATTCCAGAAAGTTTCGTCTGCAAGAATACCTTATGCTACGTGCAGCAAGAAATAGGAATTTGTTAAAGCATTGTGTCTATTTTGACAAACTATTTAAAATATCTAATTGAGCTAATCATTTTAGTGAAGCTAAAAATATAATTGTTTGTGGTGATCAAAAAGATAAAGACCCTCGGGCTGAGCACCAGCCCTTGAAATATAAAGTATCATTCTTTACATGTAAAGTATTGGCCAGCTTTAAGTTGAGCTGGCAAACACAGCTGGAGCAGCTGTACTCACACTCAGAATTAAAGTCCCAGTGGTTTGAGGGAGGGAGGAGGGGTACAAAAAAATTTTTATATGGGGAGGTTCCACCCTAAGTCACACCCCTTTCCCTTTTATACAACATTGTTGACAGAGAAGGGACCCCTTTCATATGCCTTCTATTTTAAAAGGGTACCCCTTTCACATAGCTAGTTTAGACCCTTGCATCACTTTTAACTGCTGTAAATGCTTTGTCTTAATAATATGAATAAATCACAAAACCAGATCATTTCTAGACTTTTTCACAGCCATTAAATGTGTCGTTCAGCCCTTTTGGGCCTTTTAACTGACCAAAAAATGACAGGTTTCCCTTCTTCTTATACTTCAACTAGAAAAATCCCTACCCTTTCATAAAATTCATATACCTAAAGCCTAATAAATGTACCCCCACCCCTTAAAGCAGAGCCTTCCCATTTAGACAATTATGAGGATTACCCCCACCCCTCTGGGATTCAAGTACCCTCCATGCATTAATCTCATTCAATGAAGGGAGGGTAGAGGCTGATTTAACTCACTTTGGTCCTCACTAAAGATTCACGGAGAAATTTTGTATTTTATTTAACCATTTAATTGGTGTAAAATGTCAGTAAGAACTCATTCTTTGGTTATAAAGGACTTGGAGTCAGGCCTAAAAGTGGATAAGGCAATATTTTCCAAGTTTGGGGAGTACGGCCTAGGAGTTTTAGAAATTGAGTGTGAGGTACATTAGTCTTAACCCATTCGCTCCTGGAGATTTTGCCGCAAAAACGCGTTTTGAAGCTAGTCGAGTGGTTTTCTGGTCACTGTCGTGCTATAAAGAGTTAAAACTTAACACAAACCGGTTTACAGGTCATACACTTCGCGGCCTTCTGATCCAGATGCAAAATATCAGCTTGCGAAGTTCGGGCATACACAGAAAGCAAAATTTCGAGATAGTTTTTGGGTTTAAAAGTGACACAGCAGTCTTGACTTTTACTTTTCGCTTTCTCTCCTCCCTTCTTTTTTCGCTTTTCTTGCCTCATTTTTTTTTTCTCTTGCTGGGCATAGATTTTCAGGTCAATGTCACGTGGTTTTTTGCTTCTTTCTCTGGTGTCCTTGACTGAATTGTGCTCATTCTGGTATGGTTTGAAAGATCTCTTCACTCTGCACAAGTTAGCGAAGAAAGTTGTCCTTGACCGTTAAAACTGATGACATCACAAAGGGTAGAAAGGATCTGGATCCGCACGGGCGGTTATGGGCGGTTCAGGGGCGAATGGGTTAAAACAAAATTTATACCTGAAAAAATCTAGCCAATATGTCCCATATTAGCTCCCATGTTTCTCAATAGGCTCACAGCCTAAGAAACCAGCCAGATTAGTACCTTGGAGACTGAAAGCTATCACTGATCTATGATCAGACTTCAGTAATTCACAAAACCAAGGGTTACCTCTTTATTAGTTTAGCCTTTAAGTACCTTGGATATTTTATTATGGTTCATCATGCAAGGATGGCATGACAAGCCCAAGACGGCCTGCAGAGGAGCCTAACCAGTCTTGATCTAAGCAAACAGCTAAAACTAAAAGTATAATCTTTTTATTGCATACTAGCCACTCAACTCCCACAACATTAAGTAATGTTTTAGTGGGCAAAATTAGGGCAACCTTTCCTAACAAATTTATGATAGGAAATAATCAATAGAAACAGTTGGTGTTTTCTTTGTTTGCTATTCACATAACTGCTGAAAGAATTGGAGCACTTCAAAACCAGATGACCAAGGTATAACATCTGCCTTCACTTCTTCTCCTTTTTCTCCTTTCAGGTATTTTAAAAGTTTGTACCCATCTCTTGCCAAGATGTAATCTCCAGGTTTTAATGCAAGAGAAGGGCAAAGATCACCGTGTCCATCCCCAACATAAACAATGGACTCATAGCGTTCAGCACAATCAGCAAGATGAGTCTGAAGAACTTTCCTTTTGCAAAGATTCAGAGGGCAGACAGTGCATTCATGTTCATGAAATCGTTCCACATGCAAACGACCATCACTCCTCCAGCCAGCAGGGTTTGTGTAAATGCTGCAGAAAGTGCAATGTAAAGAGTCGCGCTCTAGTAAATGATCAATGAAATAACTATTGGAATCAGAGATAATTATTGTAGATACACTGTTACTCTGTAAGTAATTACAAGTCTCCTTCATTCCAGCTGTAAATTTTAAAGATTCAAGGCAAGTTACAAAATCATTCTTTAAAAACTTTTCTGAATGGAGAACTTCAAACACTTTGTCCATAATGTTTGTCCAACACCATCCATACTGTTGATGTTCTCGTATCAGCTGCATGGTGCATGGATGTAGCTTTGTAATCCATGTATCTGTGTTTCCATCAACAAGGGTATGATCAAAATCAAACACAGCCAGAAGTCTAGCTTGTTTTACCTGCAAAATTAAAGTATTACACACATTAGTTAAATGCAGGAACAAAGGTAAAATATGGAGGTAGCCTAAGAGTTTGAAAAACATTTTAAGCTGCTTTTAACAATGTCAAGCAGCTTAAAACATTTGATTTATTTTTCGAAGTCTGAATACAAACCCTATTAGGGTTTATGACGTTCACCTCCAAAAACAGGCATGTGACACATGGTTGCCGGACGTTCTGATTTTTTCCCTGGGTACCTCTGGTCAACTAGGTAACTAAGACTTTCCGACACATTACAAAACCTTCCATTGACACACACCTTATTATAAATTGGAGACTTGTGCGACTCCATACCGGTTCACGCCGCCATTTTCTTCATTTTCTGAATGGTTGGTACTTCATGTACGCCTTACTGAATGGTCCTGGTAACAAAGCCTTGATTTCAAACGCCTCGTCCCTACTCCTTTTTTATGGAACACGGCTCCGCCGCCAAAACTTTAATCTCGCACCCACACAATACCGCCAGCTACACAGGCTACCTTATTATAGGAAATTAACGCGAATCTTTAAAATTCGCGTTAATTTTGTTGAGCGTTAATTTCCGCGACGTTAATTAAGTGCAGCGTTAATTTCCGCGCCCTTAATTTCCAGTATTTTAACCCCAATTTTGGAATCTGTCCAGACATTCTTGACACCCTAAAAAACATTAACTACAAGCTTTATTTCTTTCCATTTACCCTTTATTTTTCATCTTTCACAAAAGTTAGGGCGAAGGTTTACAATATTTCGAGTTCATCTTCATCGTTGTCGCTGTCAAAAGTGATGTCAATATCTTCTCCTTTGATTTCGGCCACCAACTGTGTCTTAATCGGGTTAATTTCCTTTATTATGAAATTCTACCTCCTCTTTCGCATTAATTTTCTTTATTCGAAAGTCGTTTTCCATTAAATTCGCGTTAATTTAAGTCGCGTTAATTTCCAATTCCTTAATTTCATGGAGCGTTAATTTCCTATAATAAGGTACTTAGAAAGCACAGGGTCACCCACGGCGAATGGCTAAGTGACATGACCGCTTAATACAGGTATCGTAAAATTCAACATCAGGGTGAGTGGGAATGGCATTTTATTTGATATATCTTTTGTTTTTTTAAATTAAAAACACTCGCGTGGTGATGTTAAAAAACAGTAACTGTAACAATACAAAGAAAATAGAAACCAAGAGGAGTTAACGTAGTACACTTGTTCATCCAAAACTATACGTGAGGTCTTTCGTGCCTCAGATAATTCCCGAAACCACTTGTACAGTACTCAGTTATGTTAGTTAGAAACGGGCAATAACAGATGTACAGTTATATCCAAATAGAGGAGAATATCACATATTTTCGTCTTCCTTTTTGTAATGAAAAAGTCCGCATAGTCGGTGGTTCGCTCTAGGATTTGAAAACGTGTTAAGGCTGAATATCATTTTGAAGGGGACAATTTTTTGTGCAGTTGGTTAAAAGAGAAGGTACTTAAAGATCAATTTCATGTTCAATGTTGACACTACCGTTTAAAATAACCGAACGTCTCTGTTCAGACAATTGGTTACGAGAAACAAGCCGCGAGACGTGAGAAACGAGGGCGGCCTCTCCCGTCTCGCGCCTTCAGTCACGCGCGTGGTCATTTGCGTGTCTCGGGCGTTTCGCTCGACGGATCAAGAAAAAAGAGAGACTGCTCGTAGTCTAGTTTTACGACCGTCGTCTCTCTCCCGCTGTGATTTAGAAGTGATTCAGTGAAGCAACAAAAATCATTTTTGACATTTTTTTCTGGTTGTTTCTGGTTATTAGAGTTACGGCAAATATCAAATGTCAAGTTGTACCACGTGACCAAGTTTTCCCTCTTCCTTAGTTTGGGGCCAGTTTCATCCATAAGAATAAGTATAAAAATCGGAGCGCTGTTGAGAAGTCAAGAACTAGGTTAACTTTTTTTCTTACGCTAAATTGCAACAGTTGTAGTTGGGTGTACGAACAAGGTAGAATTTCATCGCTTTCTCACGGCTTTTACAATTCGCTTTCTCTCTTAAAGCACAATGATTCTCTGCTTTTTTCCCCACCCCATTTATTTTGCTTTATTTCAGCGAAAAAAAAAGAGAAGAATTCCCCAAAACTCCAACGATCATGATTTTCCCTGTTTCTCAAGGAAGTACTGGATATTGGTAGTAGATAAGGTTTTCATTGGAATTTTATGAGTTTTAAGTTGAGTTCACTTTACAACTGGTATAAGAAAGGTGATTCCACAAGCCCGCTCACCTGTACGGGCCGCTGGGTACAAGGCGAGGGGGGATGAAAATTTCTATGTGTTAATTGATGCGTTGGATGTTAACGAAAGAGACCAAAGAAGCTTGAAGTCGCTTTTTGCGCTCAGAGAATGACAATACAACACAGTTAAGGTAAGATCAACGAGTAGGTTACTATTATTTTGAATCACAACATTTAGATGTCACAAGGCGCCCAAAAGCTTTATGGACTGATTAATTATTCTAATCAAAGAAAACGAAATTATCTTTCCGAAGGTCTGCTTGTATCTCTTTCTTTTGTTGTTTTGAAGTGGATGATTTGTATCAGAGAGAAGACTGTTTCCCTTCTCTTAGTTGCAAGAATACAACGGCGTCAAGCGCATCACCCGGAACGAGGATCTAACTGATTCCGAATTTACGACTCGGTTAAATTGATATCGAACAGCTTAGTGTTTCTCTCAAGGAACTGGTGGATAAATTTCTTGGCACATATCACAGATAATTTAATAGGCGGCGTATAAGTAACCTCGAAGTGAGTTATCCTTATCATGTTTATATCTGAAGAGGCATACTTTTATTTTTAATTTCCTAGCTTCATGAAACAGTAAGCAAGTGACTGCGGAGAAGGACATTTGACTTAAGGCGCTGTACCAATTCATCAATGAAGACTGCTGTGGTTTTCCTTTACTTCATGAAGATCTTACTTTGTACAGCTGACGGTGATTTACTAACTTCTCTTGATTATTACTTATCTCAAACTCAACTTATTTTAGAGTTTAGGGGAAATTTGCCCCACTTATGGGCTATTTACATGGAGGGAGGAAAAACCGAGCACCAAAAAGATCCTACCGGGCGGATCATCCTAGCGCCATATATTTTCTGTATTCAGTTTACATGCAAAGAATCTTTCCTAGTGCTAGGATCTTCTAGTACCATTTGCAAAATAACTAAGAAGGTACGCGCGTTATGATTGATTAAAACTTATGGTTTATTGTGCTGGTAAACTCATAGAAAACTGAAACATGCCTTAAGTTATTTTATAAAAGCAATAGACCACGCTTTCTATGGGCGTGATAACCCACTTGGGATGTTCGGAGAACACGAGAAAAGCTTGTAAATCACTCGCCTTCGGCCGTGTGCTCCCAACATCCCGCGTGGGTTTTTACGCCGGTAACATAGAAAGTGTGGTGTGACGTCACGTTACCATGGTAGCACTATTTCTGTATGACAACAAAACCAACGACGACGACGACGGCAAGGAGAACGGCAAAAAATAATATGTTTATATTAACAAACAACAACTTTGCACGTGCATCACGTTATTTTGTACATGTCTTGTCTTGTAAATCAGTGGCGGCGGATCTTTCAGTGGATCAGACAACCACAGCAAAAAAGCTGACAATTTTGTTTGGCGCCACCAGTGGGAAAGTACTACCATCTGCTGCTGAAAGGTAGTTATTAACCCTTGTAAGCAAAAGGCCCAAACTGCATGTTTGTTATTTGTCGTCCGTCATCTTTAATTCCGTCTCTACTTAAAAATTTCTGCATGTAAATCAAACGAACATTGTTCCGCCGTCTAGGATCTTGGTGCGATGATCTTCCTCCCTTCATGTAACTGCCCCTTACTCGAAGTACAGAATACGCCTCTGAACAACAGTATCTCAATACGGTGCAGCTTTCGAGGGTCCGTGTTTATAACAAAGACTCAAGCCAATTAAAAAGCTACCAGTTACATGTCTCGACCCCAGTTTGCTCCATTTTGAGTCTTTTGACTAATTTTCTTGCCTTTCGTTAATCGTAGATCAAGTGAGTTTACTGTTTGTTGGTGACGTTTCGTTTTCTGCGCCCGTGAAATATTACGTGGAACATGGATATCACACGTATAACGACTCTTTCAACGAAGTGGCTCCATACATAAGAAACGCTGATATTTCAGTAGCCAACTTGGAATCTCCCTTTGCGAGCGCAGACATGTATCGATACAAGTTCAAAGGGGAAAAAGTGGTTGTATTAGATGCGAGTCCAGATGCCGCAGCAGCGTTAAGGTAACACAGTATCTAAAGAATTAGTCTTAAGCGCGGATTACTCATCTAGTTATCAAGGCTTTAATTACTTCAGGGAGCCAAAAATGGGGCTCACCCGGGCTTATTTTTGAGTTATGAGAACTAAAACTGAAAAAGAGACTTAAAGTCACCGATGTACTGTTTTAAAACTTAAAAGTCAAGCTATTATTCATGCAAACTATTTCCACGTTCCCTTTTATAATTCCTAGGCTAATTCTTCATGACCAGTTATCATCGACTAAATTTGAAGGACATTTGCGGATATCAGTACGATTGACGTCAGTCGTATTGATATCGACATTAAAAGTGACACACAGAAGTAAGGCGAAGAAGCATAGCGGTGACTGTCCCTATAGCACACTCTCCTCTATCTGCGTAATGCTTCCTATTCTACTAAGCCTTGCCATTTTACAACTTAAATAGAAACTAAAAGGAAACTGAGACTGTTTAGCTCAGTTGGGAGAGCGCTGGTCTGCTGAGCGGGAGGTCGTGGGTTCAAACTCCGGCCGGACCAACACTCAGGGTCTTTAAAGAACTAAGAAGGAAGTGATGACATCTACAAACGGTTAGACTTTCTAGTCTTCTTGGATGAGGAAGAAGAACCGTAGGTCCTCTCTCACAGCACTTACACTTATCTGTTCTTGGGGACGTAAATGTACCGCTGTTCGAAAAGAGTAGGGGACGTAAGCCCCGGTTTTGTGGCCAACCTTCACACGTTATTCAAATCATGAGTTGGGTAGGTGCAGTAAGCTCACAAAAAATGGAACGATACCGGCTGTCAGTGGCGCCTTTGTATGCTGAAGTCCGAGCTTACTGTTATTATGTTAATATGTATATTGTAAAGAGGGCACGTCTGTTGTCCTCTCATCGTCCATGACTCCTTCCTTCCTTCTAGGGACAGGAAATAAATTGGCAAATAGCTGACCGGCGCGTCTCCGGTAACGATTCCAAAAACAATTGCTGGACGCATTTCGGCTCCAGTTCCATTCTTGTTTCTTTACCGGCGAAAATTGTC